AGAATATTTGAAAGTTTCATGTCTCTATTGATTAGTAAACTTGCGTAGGTCATGCCTTAGCGTTCAGGATACGTTTGGGATAGTCTCCGCGAAAAAAGCGCTAATAATTCATATAAACTTTTGGGCAGTCGGTCGATTTGACCGAACGCGTGTAATAACGTAAGTTTTTTGGCGCGTGTAATGCCGGGTTAAATGAAGAATTGCCGAATAAAAAAATCGAAGATCGAAATAACATTGTCATCACAGCAGCTAGAATAATCAAGGAGGATATCAGAGGAATTATTTGTAATTTGACTGATAATCCTAGTTTTGAAGAAATAAAGTCGGGTGGATCGGATGATTTTCCTGAGTCTTTGCAAACTTTTTTCTCTGAACTTGTTCTTGAATGATACGTGCTTAAAAAAAAAGGCAGCTTCTGTAGAAAATTTTTATAATGTCTTTAGTGAGAACAAGATCTCACATTTCACCAGTGATGTTTAGTTTTGGGTGTACACAGGAAATATTCTTCGAGAACAATAATAGACATTAAGACTATAAGAATTGCTGGTTCATATCAGGAATGCTTATAATTTGAATCTTGCGCCATTGATAAATTCAAGGAAAATATTCCTGAACAAAGTTTTTGCCAATTTGCGTTCGATAACGCTGATGTAAACATTCGAACGATAGATGGTCAGGGCACTTTTCATTCAATAGGAGGTATCATGTGTGTCACGCCGAAACTACCTACAGACAATTTTAAATTCCCCAGATCGAAAAAAAAAAAAAAAAAAAATCCAGCAAGTAAGATATGTCATTTTGGAAGTGTGCCAGTACAGGTATGTGTTTCATTGTTATTGTATACCAATTTCAAACATCAAATAACGGTCCACAAATATTGCAGTTAAATTAATAATATTTCTTTTATTTTCAGGGTTACTACAAACCGTTGAAATTAGGTTCGAAAACTATAACTATGGAACCATTGGAGGTTTTAGGACCCGATAGTGCAAAATCAGCAAGAATGGTGGATACTCTCTGGCTGATGGGAAGTAAATATTATTTTTCCACGAAATCTTGATGGGCTACAGTTAAATATGGTACGTTTTTCATAGATAGTGATGTTATGCCGTTACCATTCATTAACCTGGATCCTAGCAATTTAAGTACCATACATTCCGCGCTTATTTTTGCCGCAACCAAATACGAACAACGAACAATATAATAACCCATGCATTGTGACTTTTGATCAGCCGCTTTTTCTAAAAGCTGTGGACATTGTAGCAGCGGCAAACTCAAGCAATATTTTGTCAAAGGGTATAATAAGGCTTGGACGGTTTCAAACTTTCATGTCATTCATGGGCAGCATTGGAAATATTATGACTGGTTGTGGCATTGAGGAACTTTGGCAAACCATAGGTATATTCAAAAAATACTATTCCACAATTATGATGCAAGATCATTCCGTTATCATTTTCTCACTCATGAAGCCCTTGGATATAGATCTCTGTCTGAGGACGAACTTGAATAAATTCGATCGCTTTATGAAAAACCAACGGTAGTTGAAGTGCAACTTAGCAAGTTAATTGAAGAAATATCAGAAATAATTGAGAAAAAAATTACTGTTCTTGCTGAAGCTAGCCGAACTGGGCGACTATGGATTAAGTATTGGAAATTGGTGAACATAGTTAAATTATTCATCAGAGCTGAGAGGTCAGGCAACTAGATCCTTCATATTCATTGTTTCAAACTTATGGTACCAATTTTCTATGCTACTGGACATAATAATTATGCCAAAAGCGTGCATCTTTATTTACAACAAATGAAAAAGCTAGAAGACATAAACACTGTTTTCTACGAATAATTTGTTGATGAAGGGATATTTACGATAAGAAGAACGGAAAAATTTTGGTCAGGCACGTGGACAGACATGGTGATAGAACAGAACTTAATGAGGGCAATGAAAACTACAGGAGGACTTACCCGTGGTCGTGGATTCAGTGACTGCTCCTTAGCTGGGTGGATACTGCAATGTCAGTATGTGTTCCAATAAATATTGCCATAGAAGAGTTTGTTGGAGTAAAATCATTTTTTTCAGAGCAGCATGTAGACTTACGCCAAGCACAAAAACAACGTGATGAAGCAGATTTGCATAAATTTTCAGAATGGTTTAAAGAACATAGCCCTTTTAAATCTACCCTAAAGAATTTGTATGCATTTTTTCAGGACTTGTAGCAAAACCTGATATTAACTGCGATTTATTTGACGAAATTGGAGAAAGAATACTAAATGAAAATATAGGGCGGAATTATACAGATATAAAGTGTAAACGCATAGATAGAGTAAAAAACTTTTCTCGGTTAACAAATAATACAAAAATTCATCAAAGTTGTGTGGATATGAATCCCATGCAGTTATTTTATAGAATAATATGCTCTAACAAATCTTTAGAAGAAATTAAAAACTGTTTCAAATTTGAACCATCACCATATCCTTTATCCCTTTTTGATAATGGCACATTAAGATGGGGTCAAAAGAGCCTGTCAGATTTCTTGGAAAGAATCCAAGAATTAGGGTTGTCTAGAGGAGTCACAAAGGATCATCTTTTACGTTCCGCTTCTGAGTTATTCATTAAGGATGCCCTTCTGTGGTACCGTACTAGTAAATTTTAAAGCTGGGACGACTTAGTAATCCAACTGCGAGAAACTTTTATGCCCTACGATTATGAATTTTTTTTTGTGGGACGAAATTCGAAAACGTACTCAGGGTGCTCAGGAACGAGTAATAGGTTTTGTAATCTCTATGGAAAATCTTTCTCGGAAATTACCACAGGAACCTTCTGAAGAAGTTAAACTTCAGCTTATTCGTAGGAGCCTTTTGCCATACTTACAAATTCGAATAGCCACTCAACAGGTTTGTTCTGTCAAAGATCTTATACAATTTAGCCGAGCTATTGAAGAAACCGGAGGCACGCGTACAGCGTTTAGTACCTCCTCCGACTAACTATCGTTATTTATTAGAGCCAGAGTTGGCTTATCACAAGCCCACTCATCAGGTCCACACAGCCCTTATTGAGGCCGACTTTCGAATTTCAACAACCCCAAAGATCTTTGTTAATTCTGCGAATATTGACTCAATGTCTAAGTCCGAGTCTTTCTGCTGGAACTGGAACAGAAATTTGGCCATCGGTTGGTTCAGGTAATGTGGTGAACCAAGGAAAAAGTTTTGTTATCGTTGCGGTAAGCCAGATTGTACTACGCTTCCTGTCCAGATTGCTAAAAAAAGCGGGTTACGGCAAGGTCTTAGGCCAGAAATCTTGCCTAACGTCGAATTCAATGCCAAATTTTTCTCCAAAAATCTTACTCGATTATGTCTTAGCCAATGCAAAAAATGATGACGTTCCTACCTTCAAGTTGAAATATATGGAAAGTCTTTCCTTGGACTGCTTGATAGTAATGCTTCCAGAACTATCCATGGAGCAGGAGGCTGGAAAACTTTGAGTTCTCTTTGTCAATTAGAGCCAACTACTTCCTATTGCACTGTGGCAAATGGCCAGACGTGCAGGTCATTGGCTGCGTTTTATTGCCTCTCCGTCTTCGAGAACGTACGGTTCTCATTAACGTATTGATACTCTTATGTACTTATTCTTGGATTTTTTTTCTGGACCAGAATAGGAATCATTTCCGACCTTTACGCCGGTGAGTGGAGTTTTGGTTCTAATAATAGCATGAACAATCACGATGCGGAGGATGCTTCTATCCAAAGCAGAGGAAATTAAACCTTTGAACAGGAGCGTAGCTTACATGCCCTAATTAACGAGACTTTCACGAAAATGAGTGACAAACTGGGATGTACCACGCTTGTGAAATTGGTCATAAAGACTGATTCACCCACGATAAAACAGCGTTACTATCCACTGACCCGAGTGTTGCAGAAGAAAGTGAATGCTGAGTTGGTTAAAATGATTGCCGATGGTATTGTAGAACCTCCCGAGTCTCCATGGGCTTTCCCAATTGTCATGATCAAAAAGAAATCTGGTGGTTGGAGATTTTGCGTGGATTAATCGAGTTACAGTTCCGGATTCCTATTTGTATAATTTAATAATATAATTTTTTTTTGTAAAGTTGAAAATAGGCAAACTACCCCTAAAAACAAAAAGGTGGTGGAAAAAAAAAAACCTTTCAATACAATGTTAATTGCAATTTTTTATATGCCACTAAAAGCGAGAAAAGAAAAAAAAATTAATGTATACCCCTAAAAACTAAAATTTCCCTAAGGAAGTGTCCCCCCGCTGAATGGGGGTGAGTTACAAAAAAAGTTGATTGGAAAAAATTGTAGGAAATGTAATCTTATAAAACTTTTATTAATATATTTTTTTTTTTGTAAAAAAATAAAAAAACTTTAAACTACCCCTATTGAAAAACGGTAGGGGGTGAGTAAAAACTTCATAAAGCAAAAATGTTGTATGTGTTGTAGAAATTTTTTTTACGTTGGTTAGATTTTCTTATTTTCATTATAAAATTTCAAACGGCCCTTAATCAAAAAAGTCTTTAGATAAACATTGTACATCAAATAATGTTGCACATCTTTTATTTGAAAGATTTTTTTTTTGTAAAATCAGTAGGTATCAAGTAATCGCCAACGGTGCACTTTCAACCCCTATAGCGCAAAACGCCAGAGGGGTGAATGTGTGATATCTTCGGTTTTATGATCACCCACTCGCCCTCTATCATTCCTGAAAAATTAATTTGGGTAGGATTTTTTTTTTTGAAAGTCGACAATTTTCAGACTACTAAATATCCTCCTAGATATATTTTGTTTTGTGATAATTTTATGATCTAATGGGATTCCCAAGAAATTGATATTATTTTTATAGATACTTTTGGAGATGATTATTTTATTTATTTAAATAGTTTCTAACAAACATATAGTGATTTTGTTGTTAGGAAATCTTGCCAATTTGAGGAACACAATAAATTATTATGATTGTTTTATTCACTGAAAATTATATGTTTGTTGAAAGAAGCTAGATATGTTTCCATTTCTGGGTTTCAAACTGCGGCGCAAATGGCAAATTCTGCCACATCCTTTGCAGCCTGTTCTCCAGAATGCTTCAATTCCTCCACAGAACATTCTTGCAAATGAGGGAGCAAGTTCGTAACCAACTCCGTAACTTGAGCAACATCGGCCATTATTTTTGCTGGTGCGTCTTTAGTATCTTTTTCAATTTTTTCGAGTATTTTTGCATAGCATTTCGCTTGCTTCCAAGCGTTTCCGTTACATTTGTCGATATCAGTATCGATAGTGTTGAGATCTCGCTCGATTGCTTTGGATCTGTTCAGTGCATCATTAACCAAGTCTTGAGCTTTCGATATTTGTTTGTTAATGCATTCAATTAGGTTGTGGGCAAGGGTGTTGGGTGTTTGAGAAAAATCGTCCACGTACTTTTGACACTTGGCCACATCAAAACCTGGAAGAAATTATTTCTTTGTTAGTTTTATTTCTGTTGAGAATATGAGCTGAAACGAACAGAGCTCTTGAAAAATCAAGGGCTCTGGCTTATGATTTGACATGAGTTTATGTGAAGTTCCAGCATCACTTTAAAAAAAAAGGATTGGGGTTGAAGGTTCATTTTCGACTTTCAGCGGACGATTTTAACAATCAAAATCTTTTTCATTGACATTCCAGAAATACTGTAAATTTTTAACAGAGAGATATTTTAGAAGGAGACCCACGAATATTGATTTAATCATAAAAATGTGAAAGCTGTCATTAAAAAAAAATAGACACTTCAGATTTCAGACCAAAGAAATCTGATTGACATTGGGTGGTATGAATAAAAACGAAGTATCTGCTACTACTACAACTATTAGTATATACTCAGTAGTATTCACTTCAAAACAGATACTACATTTCGAAACCACCGTAAGTAAATATTGCGTAGAATATACTTATAGTTGTAGTAGTAGTAGGTAGGTACTGCATTTTTATTCATATCACCCAATGACTCTTCACCTGTAGCCTGATTCCTAGTTCCAATGAAAAATTGAGGTTCTCGGAAGGAATATATTCGGACACAAAAAAAATGTCTTTGCTGAATTTTACCTTTTTTTACGTTGACAATGAAAAATCGGTCTAATATATGTTTTACAATAGAGCCTTACCCGCCTAATGCCTCCAACTTTATATTAATAATAACAATATGGGCGCAAAAAATAGGAGAAATTACTCTTTTATATTCGAGCAGATCTTACCTTTGGCTTTAGCTTTAGCAACTAAGTCATTCAATTTCTTTCTGAGTGGCTGTAAAACCTTGTCCAGTTCAGCGTTTGCTTTACCCTCTAATTCTGTTGCTTTAGCTTTAACGGTGTTCAAGGCCTTATTAAGAGCATTCTGAGCTTGAGTTAAAACTCTGTCTATTTCTGCCATAAGACTATGGAATGCTTTTTTAACGTCATCTTTGGTGGATGCTTCTGCAACAAATGGCTAAAAAAACGTATGGAATCAACAAAAACATTTTCACTCGAATAAATTTATATTTGAAGGCATTAGTTCTGGATTAAAGACAAACAAAAATTCTTCTAGAATAAATTTCCCGCTCTAATATCATTCACATTATCAAGGCTTGAGAAAATGGTTCTTATTATACTTGGTTATTGAACACGAAGAAAAATGTTTAATTTATTTTGTTCTAGTATGAAAATGTAATTTCTAGACCTTACACTAAATTGTAGGTAGGTACTGGCTAATTTTTAAAAAAGATCCCTCCCTGAAAATACTTCCGGCGCTATAGCTTCAGCATCTACGCTGTGAGCGTTCGAAGGACTGAAATGTATAAGACGAAGAGAATAATTCAAATCACAAAAAAAAACTCAAGTTTCTATCTATTGCCTAGTGCCTAGAATAGTTACAAGGAGTAGGTTCCTAGACCTGAGGAGGCTTACTAGCAAAAACATGTGTCGTGCTCCTATAACTTTTTTTTGGATTATTCTGCTCTCCACTGCGACTTTAACCAATGAACCTTCTTTTTGAATAATGTATATGTACAATCATGCAGTCAATGAAATGAAGCCCCCATAAAAACGGCAGTAAATGGTTAAAATGTCGGAAAATACATAAAAGGAGACTTTTTGTGTTTTTTATCAAATTAAAACTCATCTTTCACTCACCTGATAAAGCACTACCAAAGTCACAACGGTAAACGCCTTTAATTTAAACATTTTTCCTTCGAATCAAACTGCTTGAGGTATTAACAAGCTAAGTTTACATGCATCCATATTTATATAAAAATCAGCTCTCCTTATTGCGGGGATTTTCTTTTTTTATCAGCTATTGCTCCAAATGAGTGGACCGGTAACCAATAGTGATTACCCAGAAACATTTATTCTACTTAACACGTTCACGACCGCTATTATGAAATTTGACGATACTTTAAACCAACCGCGTTTTTTTAGAATGTTCTGTTTTGTCTGGATGGTGCAATCTTGATAAATTTGAATTATTCCCGTTGTGTTTATTCCTACCTCTTCCCGCTCGCCGTTGCATATAACCGCTATTGTTGTAGACGAACCTGCGATGAACATCCATGTATTCGTTGTACATAGTCGTTTCCAGAGGATGCCTTTTAGCCTGTGTTGTTGTATGTGGCAATGTCTGGGTTGCGGTCGTTGACGCAGGACGGATTAGATTCAATGTTTCTAACAGAAACTGGAGAACAGATGAGCTGGTGTGGGTAGGGCTGCATGCACTGTTGGAGGTCGCTTTCATGGAGCTGAAAGTAAGTTTGACTGTTGTAGTCGACGGCGGTGTAATCATCGTGAAGGTCCAACGCCCAGTATGTTTTATTCTCAATTCTGAGTAGAATCGGTGTTGCCTTCAATAGGGTGAATTCCGTCACGTCAACTATTGGAAAATATCCACACACCTTGAGGTGCGTGTTGTTGGTGATTAATCTTGTGGACACTGCTGCCGAAAGAATCTTTAGATTGTTTGGGAGCTTTCGATTGGATTTTTGAATGACGGAGTTGATATATGCTGGTGAAACTTGGTCATATATCGTACCCCTGTTGAAGTTGATGTTCAGCAATTTATCATAGTGCTCATTGGTTTCGCTGATGAAGTTTACTTGCTATGCACTCGATAGATGAATGTTAAGGGCATTAGTGTCTATTTCCTTCTACCAACTCTGCATGCTGTTGATAGCTTCTATTCCTTCGTTGAGTCGTTTCTGGCAATGTTGTAGTTTGTTCGTGATTCTGGCTTCTGTTTCGTTGAATTTTGTGAGTGCCAAAATCATGAACTTTGTTCGGTAGTTTGATGCTCTGATGAGTTCTTCCTGATTGTTGTTCATTGCCTCGATATCTTGATATACTTCGTCATTCACTGCAAAAACCGAAGTCAAACATTTTCCAAATAGTCATCTCTTAGTTCTGTGGTGAATGTCGGCCATGGTAGCAAATATCCATTTGGAGTGATTTTCCATTTCTTCTAAGTGTTGTGGATAGTTGATTTTAAACCCTGTTTCTGCAGTGGCGGTTGTAATCATCATAATTATGGCTGCTAGGAAAAACAACACATATGATTTTGCTGATGTTGATGCTACGTTCCGTAGTTGGTCTGATCTCCGTACCTCTGAGTGGTTTTGGGTGGTTGGTAAATGGTGTATGTCTTCTGTCGGTAATGGGATTAACTTGTGGATCGGTCTTTTTTGTGGTGAGCCGCCTGGTTTCTCGGATTGCTCCATCTTGTCCCTGGTGAGTTTCTATAATTCTCCCCAAAGGCCAGTGGTTTGGGTTTATATTTTCTTTTTTGATTAGGACCATTGTTCCTACTCGTAGATTGTTGGTCTGATTCTGCCATTTGTATCTTTGCTGCAGTCTCGTGAGGTATTCTGTGCACCATGCGCTCCAAATGTTTTTCTTTAACTTTTGCACGTGTCTCCATCGTTGAGATAGGTTAAAATGTTCTGTCGATTCCAAGTTTGGTGGTGCTAGAAGTTCTCTTCCTATGAGAAAGTGTCCTGGGGTCAAGATATTGAAATCATCTGTGTCTTCTGTTAGCGGGTAGAGTGGTCTTGAGTTCAAACATGCTTCAATTTGACACACCAACGTTGTTAATTCTTCATAGGTTAAAGTGCAGTCTCCAATTACTCTCTTGAGATGGTGCTTCATAGATTTTACACCTGCTTCCCATATTCCTCCGAAATGTGGGGCTGCTGGTGGAATGAAGTGCCATTGTGTTCCTAAGTTGACGATTGTGTTTTGTACAGATTGTGATTGTATCAATTTTGTGATTTCATCTTCGAATAGGCGTGCTCGGCGTGCTGCTCCAACAAATGTAGTTCCGTTATCACTGTACATATTCGCACAATGTCCCCTTCTGGCTGTGAAACGTCGAAATGCTGCCAAGAATGCCTCTGTTGTCATGTCGCTGACTACTTCTAGGTGAATGGCTTTGGTGGCTAGGCATACGAATACTGCGATGTACCCTTTGTATCACAATTCATACAAAAGGTACCTCTTCCTTTTGTTGTTCTGACTTGAATCGGTCCGACGTAGTCCACTCCTGAGTTTGTAAATGGTGGTGCTGTTGTTACTCTCGATTTCGGAAGTTGTCCCATGAGTTGCTGTGCGGTCTCGGCTTTGTGACGGATGCATACAATGCACTTATTTATAATTGCTTTGACGGCCCACTTACCGTTGATGATCCAGAATCTGCTTCGTATGTACGACAATGTCGCTTGGTTGCCTCCATGTAGCGTGGTCTTGTGTGCGTTTCTCACCACTAGCGTAGATATGTGAGAATGGTATGGAAGAATCATCGGGTGTCGTTGGTCGTAGGGAAGAGGTGAGTGTTCGAGTCTTCCTCCGACTCGGATTATGCCCTTGCTGTCGAGAAATGGGTTGAGGGTCTGTAGCTTACTTTTCTTGTCGACTGCGTTCTGCTGTTGTAAAGACCTGTATTTTTCGGTAAACTCTTGCTGTTGGACTATTTTTATGATTATTTCGAAAGTGTTTTGAACTTCTTGAACGGATAGAGTAAGACTTTCCCCTTTTTTGATGAATCGACGGCAGTAGGATAATATCCTGAGCATCCTTGTCAAGTTTGAGAAGCGTTCCCATATATCGCTCCTTATCGTGACATTAATTTTGTGACATGTGGCTTTTACTTCTTCTTGAATGTCGGGAATATTGTCTGTTGTGGGGATTTCTCGGAGCAACGTCAGCCAATGAGGACCTTTCCACCACAGATCAGCTGATTGTAGTTTGTCTGGGTCCAATCCCCTGGATATGATGTCTGCTGAGTTTTCTTGCGACTTGACGTGGTTCCAAGATGCTTGAGGGGCGTTTCAGGGTATTTCGGAAACTCTATTTGCACCAATGGTTTTCCATCTCGTAGAGTCACCCTTTATCCAGGCAAGAGTGATCATGGAGTCGGTCCAAGCGAAGGTCTGGGTATCATCCATTTGAAGTGCTGTCTTAGTTTTTTGAATTAGTTTTGATAGTAGGACTGCTGCACATAGCTCCAAGCGAGGTAGGATTGTTCTGTTTTTTGCTGGAGCGACCTTTGATTTTGCTTGCAGCAGCGTGATAATTTGCGTATTTTCTTCTTCTTCTATCCGACTGTAGATCACTGCACCATAGGCCTTTTCTGATGCATCGCAAAAACCGTGGATTTAAATTTTTTGTTTTTCTCAGATGTATCCACCTCAGAATCTTGATTTTTTCAACTTCTTTTATTTTGCTCTGAAACTGGATCCATCTTGAAGATATTTCTTGATCTACAGGCTCATCCCAGATCAGGTTTCTTAGCCATAAGTCTTGAATGATGAGTTTAGCTTGTATTACGATTGGAGACAACCATCCTAAGGGGTCAAATAATCTGGATATTTCTGACAAAATTTGTCGTTTTGTTAATTCGCATATTTCGGAGACTTTGACCTGGAATTTTAAGGTATCGTCTGCTGGTGACCATAGTACGCCCAGAGACTTCTTGAAGTCTTCCTGAGGTAGTTCTTGGTATTTTCTGTTCTCGGAACTGTTCTGGAATTGATTGGAGTAATGCCGGTGAGTTGCTAGACCATTTTCTCAGGTTAAATCCAGCAAGGCTGAGCATTTTTAGTATTTGGTTTTGTAGTACTACGGCTGATTCTGTATCTGCCGCTTCCGATAATATGTCATCGACGTAGAAGTCTCTTAATGCTGCTTGGCTTGCTGCCGGAAATTTGTTTGATTCTTCGATTGCAAGCTTCTGTAGTGTCTTGATGGCTAGATATGGTGCTGAGGCTGTACCGTAGGTTACAGTGGTCAGTTCGTATCCATACATTGGTTGCTGTGGATGCTCCCTCCATAATATTCTCTGGAATTGTTGATCGTCTGGATGAATTCGGATCTGCCTGCACATTTTCTCTATGTCTGCGCAGAACACAATCTCATGCTTTCTCCAACGCAGCAGTACCTATGTCGTCGATGTTTTGTTGAAGTCTTGGGCCGACGTGCATGATGTCATTGAGGCTGATGTTGGTGGAGCTTTTGCACGATGCGTCGAAAACGACTCTTAGTCGCCTTGTTGTGCTGGCTTCTCTGATGACTGCTTGATGAGGGATGTAATATTTTCCTTGATTCACTTCATGTCGGGTGACTTTCCTCATATGATCCAACTCTATGTATTCTTTCATGAATGCAGAATATTGTTCTTGTAAACTGGGATCTTGATGTAACTTTCTCTCGATGTTCTTGAATCTTGCTGCGGCTCTTGGTTTAGAGTGACCTAATACATCTGCTGACTGTTTGAATGGGATTCTAACACTGAATCTACCCTCAGAGTCTCGAGTAGTGGTTTCCTCGAAAATCTCTTTTCGCATGCTTACTCTTCTTCCGTTAGGTGCGGCGCTTGGGTTATTTCTTCAATTTCCCAGAACTTGGTTAGCTGTCTATCTTCTTCATAGTGAGTGATCATGCTGACAACTGGCTCCGATGGCTGGAGATCCGAAGGCTATTGGGCCAGAAACGGTCCATCCTAACTCTGTGTTTTGTTTCAACAGGCCTTCTGTACTTTTTTGCATGCCGTTTAAAATGATATTGGCGTATTCCTTTGCGCCTAATATACCATCTATTGCACCTGGTGTCATGAATGTTGGATCGGCTAGCACTTTATTCTTCCAACTATCTATGCTGTTTATGTGTAGGTGTCGTTTTGGCATGGATTGAGTAAGTTTTGGAAGGACAATCATATTGACATCC